CCTTTACACATGTACTGTATACATTTATGAAAATAAAGTATTTTTTTCATATCGCCTTCCTCTTTTCTTTCAAGCAAGCATTTGTGACCTGCTGTGATTCATAAAACATAATCCCTGCACCAAAACACAGATTCAGTCGATGTGCACGCATAAATGATTTAGATGTAAGTTTTCCAGATCTATGTTTAATTAGCCTGAGTTAATTATTTTGAGGTGAAAAAGTTCCAGAGCTACTTGTACAAGGGTGAAAAGCTTTTCGCCTTGGTAAGCTGTTTTCCACGGTGAGGAATAAACATAGTAAAATGCTAACATATGCTAATTGGAGTGCTTGCATTTCCATTTGCCCGCAGAGAATAGTGGGGTTCATTAACTGAACAAACAGAACCTCCTCTCTCGAAATATCACTTTAATTAAGACCACGAACAGGAATACAAGGAAGGAAAGGGAAAGGATGGGGGTGGGGGGCTCTTAACTCCAAATGCCACACCTGAATCTGAGCAAGGGGGCCTGTGGCTTCTCTCTCTATGTATGCCCTTTTATTTCTTTCTTCTCTGGGAATTAGTTCACAGCATCAACAGATGGGAGCTGGCCACTGGCCAGAAATGAGCAGGGTAATTAGGTTGTCCTATGGCTCAGATTGAAAATAATGTCGTTAATAAGGAAACGGGTGTCCATAGAGAGCATGAAGGGGAGCAGAGTAACCTTCTCTGTAGTAAGGTGATCCACAGGGACAGTGAAAGGGGCAGCCATTTTTAGATCGGCTTGGCTCATTTTCAGGTTTTGATCCTTTAAATAAAGTGGAAGTTGGACATTGTTTTTTTCTTTTCTGTTTTAAACACGTTCAGAAACGCCAAATTCGTGTATATAAAATAGATCACATACATATCAGCTTCCTTTAAAGTCAGCAACTGGTGAAATTGTAGTGAAATGATAAAATATAAAACCTCAACGTTTCTTCTCTTACAGCATAGCAGGACTTGTAAGGCAGACAGACTCGCTTCATTTCCACATCATGTAACCATTACTGTCGGTCGCACTGGGAGCTGTCCATTGTCATAGTGCTGAAACGGCTTTGTCCATTTGTGCCTCTAAATCCAACTGCAACGTTTCCTGTTGTCCACCAGAGGGCGCTTAGAGCACGGTGCAGCAGGCTGGATTTAATGCTTTCACAGCAGCCTCTCACATACATAAATCATGACCTCTTAAAATGTTTTGTTTTTAATTTTTAAGTAGTGATAAGAAAACAAAGTCATGAGGTGTAAATTATGCTCGTAAAATACAAATAAATTGCATCCCCCTCCCCCCCTCTCTAATGTCAGTGGTAGGTTTAACCAAAAAAAATACCAATAATGCAACAACATAACATTAGATGAAAACGCTGTTACAACACTGTTGCAACAACCTTGCATTCATTAATGTAAAAAAATGCTCTACTTAAATGAAGCAATTGAATGTTGCAGCTTGCTGTGGTGAAAAGCTTTAAATACTGTTGATTACATTAATCTCTGTTTGTTTGTTTTTTTAGTTAACCACATCTTACTCTGCAAACTAACTACTACAGTTTCCCCAAAATATAAACACATAAACAAAGTAGTTGAGTAAAAAACACACAATTACACAAAGAAACATAGATGAAATGTGGTTTAAATACTCAAGTAAAGGACAAAAAAAGGACAAGTGCCTCCGAAAACTACTTAGTAAACTGTAAGTTAAGTTATTTATATATTATAGATGTTTAAATTTGATTAATTTATGATCACAACGTTTTCACAGTAAATATACTGACCAGTTTTTTCACAGAATAGTTCCCCGGTAGAGGGCATCATTGAGTAAAAATTATTTTAGTGATCCACTTATTTAAAACTCTTATCCAACCCAGGGAGAAGTGTTCCCCTCCAAACAAAACTTGTTGGACAGAAAATATAACAGAAAATATTATGTGGACACCGTGTAAAGTACAAACAAAACAAACAAGCAAAAACAAAAAACTGGTCGAATCTCAGTGGGAGTCATACTGTCTGTTGCATGGGCCCCCATTTTTTTGTGTCTCTGAAGCCCTTTATGACTCAGTCTGTTTGCTTAGGGTTGTTGTCATATGGGCAGATCAGATTCTTCACTAATAGTCTCATGCGTGATAACATCTGAGCCTATATTGCAAAGCCTAGTGAGTTCTTGGCAAAAAGCATAATGAAAAAGTAATTAAAAATAATTGTAATAAAATGTAATAAAACTTTGGCAGTCAAGGAGTACTACCACTACTACCACATATATTAGTGAGCCACCATTTCATGAGTAAGATGGCTCAGTGTACATTTTTAAACTTAATTTTCAATCTTTAAGATAATTAAATGAATGTAACAATCATTTCCATCAAATCTGACTTTTTATATCAAGTGTGCATGGATTTTTTAAATGTAAAGTTGTGGTTTCAGATAATAAAATGTTTTAAATAAAGCACTCAAAACCATGAAGTTACATAAAGTAGTGACTCAGACACATTCACATTCTAGTGACCAGTGCTGTTTCCAAATTAGTTTCATCTTCAACAAATCTAAAATTATTTTGACCAAGACTATTTAGTAGAAAAAGTCAGGTTTCACATTTTTAGAGGCATTTTCTAGCCAATCCTTACAGTGTATGTACAAAGGCAATGGCATTTTAAGCAGTGATTGATTAGAAAATAACACATGTTGAATTAACACAAAAAACTACAAAAGGTGAAGATTACAGTTGGGTGTGACCTGATTAAAGCATCCATAGATACAGGCCAGACTCACCTAGTTCACTTGTGGGACCAGAAATAATAGATAATCAGATAACTGAGGTTAGATTGTTAGAAGCTGTGATGATCACTGGCACTCCTTTTGGCTCTTTTAAACGCAGGGTTCCCCTCATCATGATGAACTGTCAGCTTAGGTCTTTAAGGGAAACTTGATGGATTCAAGGAGATTTATTGTCATTCGCATCACATGTTTACATGAGGTGGAACGAAATTATGTACACATGGTCCCGGAGCAAGAAGAAACAGATTAATGAAGAAACAGTATTTTAAATTGTAAGTAAATTAATAGTTAAAAAAAACAAAAACAAATACAATTACCAGTCGGGAGAATAGATATAGAAATGTAGGTATAAATATAGGTATAGATACTTTAGCAGCAAACGGGCATAATGACCAGCATTGATAAAGTGACGGTGTCAGTAAGTGTCTTATTGTAAACTGTGATGTAATCCAGTTGCAGTACAGAAGGTAAACCAAAATACCCAGGTGATGTGTAGCTCTCTCTCTCTTCTGTGAACATGATGATCCATATACAGTGGAAGTCCCTAGTGAGCGGTTTATTACATTTATCAATCCCATTCTCCTTTGCCTTAAAACTATTGCACAAAAACACTTTTCCTTCTACGGGCTTCTCACAACAGCAGTTATGAGTGTACTTTAATGAGCAGATAATAATTTTATTGCAGCCCGGAAATACTTCCAGGCTCTAAGTGTACTGAGTGTATCCTTGACTATCATAGAGCTCACACTAATTAGAACATTGTGTAACATATTTTTTTTTCCATCAGTGAGATCTGCCTGTGGATCGCAGCTTGTACTCTGGCTTCCAGAGTACAACAGTCAGACTGAAATCAGGAACATAACGGTGCATGATAACTGTGCAAACATTTCAAATACACAGCCAGTGGTGGAAGGTAAAAAGCTGACCTTAATTTGCCTTTTTGTCAAGAACTTTGACAAAATAGTAATCTAAAAGGAGACGAATTGAACGGTGAGAGATTTTGCTAAGGCAGCTGCAGTAAACTCTGACACATGCTCTCTATCTTTCTCTCTTTCTCTGCCAACTGTAAACATCCTTTGATTGAGAGTATCACTCTTTCCTGATTCCAACCAGTCAGATTTTGGCACTACTCTCTGCTGCTGTCAGCTGTCATTTAGGTGTCAGATCAAGGAGGGACACACGTCTCCTTCACACAATTCACCTCCAGGTTTTATCACAGTGTCTTCTCACTGATTACATCACACCCAGCCACATCTTCATCATTGTTCTTCACCCCTACTGTACCTCTCAAATGTGTAGCCTTGTTGAGTATATGTGGTAAAATCTAGTAAACACTTGACTCTACTTACACTTCAACTGTTACTCATTGTGGATGTTTACCCTAAAAAACTTTCTGTTACTTGAGTCTCCTTAGACTGAATGCTTCCCCCCCTAAACTACTATGAAGTTAAATGCATACAATTTGTTTGTTTTAGTCCAATACCTACTTCAACTTCACTACAATTTGGCTGCTATCTTGTAGAGACCAACTACATGCGGATTTCTTGACTGTTTCCATATTACAGGCAAAACAAAACAAAACATGTTTTAAACTTTTAAAAATTAATATAAAAGTAAATGGAAATAAAAGTCACAAACTACAAACTGTAAAGTAGCATCTACCAGCACAGGTCATTTGCCAGCTTAGGGCAGACTGTAGCAGGCTGGCGTCAAGTAGTAACAGCGCCAACAGGCTTGTGTATAAAGGCACAGAAAGCTAGAAAAGGTTTATATCTTTATTATACAATCATATACCTCAGTAATGTAGGAGCTGTTATATACAGCTGTTTTAAATCATCTAGTGGCATGTAAATAAAATAAAGACATACCAACTTAAGGATAGTAGATTGTTTTATCCTCCATGATTTATTCCCTTGTTATAAAGACCTCAGACAATATTTGAAATTAATCCTTTATTATTACAAAACAAACAACTGTCTTTTGAAGACATGCCCGATGAATGAGAGATGTTGTCAGGATAAAGCACACAGTGCCGCTCGTGCGCCTGTGTGTGTGTTTGGTCCTTCCATGCGTCAGTGCCTTCCGAAGCTGCAAAGCTGATTTCAGAGCTGAAGAATTCAATACACTATGTTTAGCGTGTATCGCACGGTGTCACTGTTGACCACTAGAGCACACTACCACACTACTCTTCTTCTCTGAAGTCATGACACACCCATTTGTAAAAGCAAAGGACTGGTTTCTTAAATGGGCGCTTATGATTACATACACACAGAACCTTAATTCATTCATGTCTATTGTTTTTCTGGATTTTTTTTTTTTGCAAAGATACTCTGTGAAATCTTAAGAATCACAGACATAAAACGGCTTTTAGGATCTGGCTTATTTTTTTCCTGCAAAGGAAAGGATGAGATTTTGCATTCCCGTCTTTGTCTTGTGTGCAACATGGCCAGCCGCTTTGTCGGTGACACGGTACTCCATACCCGAGGAGAAGGAAAGGGAATCTGTTGTGGCTAATCTGGCTGCAGATCTGGGACTTGAGCCAGGAGGTTTGGCGCAAAGAGAGGTAAAACTTGATATTTTTTCCAACAAAAAATACCTAGATTTTAACAAAAAGACGGGCGAACTGTACATCGTAGAAAAAATGGACAGGGAATATCTTTGTCCGGCGAAACCCGCGTCCTGCTTTTTAAAGCTCGATGTGATCATAGAAAGCCCCTTACGTATCTTCAACATCGAGCTTGGAATAACGGACATAAACGATAACGCTCCACATTTCCGACGGGACAGAGTAGAGCTCGACGTTTCAGAATCTGCAACGCCGGGCGAGAGGTTTTCCCTGCCCAACGGCGTGGATCCAGATGTTGGTATAAATACAATTAAAACGTACAAACTCAGTGTTAGCGAACACTTCACAATCGAAATTCAGACAGGTAGCGACGGAACTCAGTATGTAGACTTGGTGTTGACCAAATCGTTGGATAGAGAACAGACTGCTGTTCATAATTTAATATTAACTGCAGTGGATGGCGGTGTCCCGGTGCGCTCTGGCACTGCTAATATTATTGTAAGAGTACAGGACACAAACGATAATCCCCCACGGTTTGATAAGCAGACTTATACAATTAACATGACGGAAAACACCCCAATAGGGACCTTAGTGATGAAGCTAAACGCCTCGGACCTTGACGAGGGTTTGAATTCAGAGATTGTGTACTCATTCACCCTTTACACGTCGGAGAAAACACAAGAGGTGTTTTCACTGAATCATAACACTGGAGAGATAACTGTGAAAGGAACCATAGACTACGAAGATATGAAATTCTATGAGATGCACATAGAGGCCAGAGACAAAGGCACGCATCCCTTACTTGGTCAGTGCAAAGTGGTCGTTAATGTGAAGGACATGAACGATAATTATCCGGAAATCATCATACAGTCTGTTAAAAACACAGTGGAGGAGAACGTAGCAGTAGGAAGTGTTATTGCACTTGTAGATATAAGTGATAGAGACACGGGGGATAACGGAAAAGTAAGCTTGACTATACATCGACCCATGCCCTTTACAATTAACACATCTTCAGATCGACCCATGCATTACAAGCTCATTGTGTCCGAGCCTTTAGATCGCGAAACAGTACCTGAATATGACATTACTCTAATTGTAACAGACGCAGGGATGCCACCTTTATCTGATAATGAAACAATAACTGTCCATCTGCTCGATGTTAATGACAACGCGCCACAGTTCCCCCAGTCATTTTATACTATACGTGTCATGGAGAATAACGCACCTGGGGCCTTGCTCAGCTCACTCATTGCCTTTGACCCCGACCTCCATGAAAACCAGTATCTAGTTTATTTCATAATAGAGAAGGAGATAGCCAACACATCCATGTCCATGCTGTTCTCCATCAATCCAGAGAACGGTAATCTTTACGCACTCAAAACCTTTGATTATGAGATTGAGAAGGAGTTTCTGTTCCACATCGAGGCCAGAGACTCTGGCTCTCCTCCTCTCAGCAGTAACGCGACCATCCACATCATTATTGTGGACCAGAACGACAATGCTCCAGTTATTGTGTCTCCATGGCGTGCACAAGGCTCTGTGGTGGAGGAAAAGATCCCCAGATCCACTGATAAAGGCTCCCTGGTTGCCAAGGTGATAGCCTTAGACACTGACTCTGTGCACAACTCTCGGATCACCTACCAGTTTCTACAGGTGACTGACGCCACCTTGTTCAGTCTGGACCAATACAATGGAGAGATCCGGACTATGAGGATGTTCAGTTACAGAGATCCACGCCA